GAAATCTGCGTATTTTTCCGCGAAGTAGCGAGTTACTGCTAATTTAGACACCAAGTTGTCTCTCTAATTAGATTTGCGTGTCCGCACTTCTTCTCACCTGCGACTTTTGTTTGTGTCCATGTGTCCGTCTGAGCGCGCCTCCGCCGACATAGCAGACCGACTTACTTGCGGGGCCACTTCTAAATTTATTCTTTTTGGCTAGGCTTACCTTTAAGCCGCGCGTCTCGTCACCTCTGCACCACACTTTCGGCTCCCCAGCTCTCGACGCGAAAAAAGACGCCGTCTACTCTACACTTTGCCAAACGGGAAATCCCAATTACACCGCTCGCGCAATTGAGTGACAATTCTAATGCGTCCCACCCCGCGATTAATAAATTGGACGGCGCGTGATTTACGACAGCGTTACTCATCCGCCGGTTAAATTTCATTTCTTTTGAAAAACTCCTCTTGTGAATAAAAATAGCGCAATAGTGGCTTTTGCCAATTTTTTTGTTTGATTTTTTTTATATATATTTGCTTGGGATTTGAATATCGAAAGTTGCCAGACTATATAAAACCCACACCGAACGCAAATTTAGGACGAGAGACATTGTAAACAAAATCGCCGCTTGGACTGTTTTCTGTAAACTTTTTGCCGCAGACTCTCGCTTCTTTTCTTGGCGTAGACAGCGACGTTTTGCACACACTCGGCGGTGGTCGTCCAACAGCTTGTGTCACCCCTAATGCTCGAGTGTGCAAAAATTATTGGCACGCCTGCTGAGACCATTCGCTTTTGTCAGGCACTAAAAAAATACGTATTAATGCCAAACGCGTACAGCTTTATTTGAAATGGGCCGTTTTGTGGTTCTTTTTATACACCGACGTTAAAAAAATATACTCGGAAATAGATTTTAATGATAAAAAAGTGGAGAATAATGCTGAAATATACAAAATAGTATTTAAAAAAAACAACCACCTAAATGCCATGAAAAACATTTAGCTTTTTCACCTCGCCATTTATTAATTTTATTTATTGCTTTTAAAATTTTTAGGAGTGCTCAAAAAAGTCTTTACCTATTTATTTTTAAATTCTGAGACCATTCTGTTTAATTTTATCCTGAATTCTGACTATTCATTAAATTAAAATGTTTAATTCTATTTAATTATTTATTCTCCATGCAGATACAATATGAAATACACAACATCTTACATCCAAGTCATTCACAAAAATTAAATTTGAATATTTAAGGGGTACGTTTTAAAATTATTAAATAATATTTGCTAATTTATTTTTTAACTATTTGAAAGACGTTCTTTTAAATTCCTAGACTATTTTGATACCTTCTAATGATGTTTTTTTTTTAAGAATTATAATTACTATTATGGGACTGTTGAACAATATTTACTGAAAATTAAATTACAAACTTCTAGTCACTTCAAGCTAATCATTTTTTTTTCATATAAAAAATTGACTTTTGAATTATTGTAGTGTAAAGTGTGAGTTAATTGTCTTCACTTAATTTTGAAAACTTTGTCATAAAGCTTTAAGAATAATAATAATAAAATTTAAAACTAATTAATTTTATCTTATGGAAAAGCCCGTTTCTTCATTATCCATGATCATCACCTCGAGTGTCAACTTCTTCAAAGAAATTTCAATTTAATTCTATGTAGATGAAAATAAAACGTGCCGATTTCATTTAAATTTTTCACTATTGCTTAAAAATTAGAAAATTCCTTTTTTCTACAATTTTTTGAATTAAAATTTAAGCCTAATAAGTCTCCATTTTTTAGGCAAACCCAGGCAAACCTTTTTATTTTTACTGAACACGTTTGGAAAAAACTTTATTCCTCAGCATTGGATTGGCTTTGTAAATAATTTGCAACTAAATTAAAACCTACAAAATTTGAGTCAATATTATATATTAAAACTGGTGTTAGAAGCAGCTGGAAAAGCTTTAATATAGTGCAAATTTAATGATCAAAGCATTTGCATTGCAAAATTTCTTCTGCCATTGTTGCCAACGCAGCTTATTCGGACTAATTAAAGATCCATTTTTTTTTATTTCTTCCAAATTAAAATTTTTACAGTCATGTGGAAAAAATATGATTAAATTTTTAACAATTAAATCTTATTTAAAGTTTATCAACAACAACGTGCCTGAAGAGACGTTCCATTGAAGATCGAGTCCTCAATTACATTTTCTAGTTTTATTCATGTAGATTTTTTTCAATCAAATATGTATGATTTTTTAATTAGAAACATGAATTAGAATTGCAATGGTCCTAAAAAAATGCGTTAAAAAGGCCGACCTAGTGGGGATTTGAACCCGCTGCTTTAGGGCTCTGCTCTCTATTCAGCTGGTCTAAGCCTACGCTGCTCGAGAGCTGATCGCCAGCAAGTTGCTCTCAACTCACTAGGCCGGCAACTAATTGAAATAAAAAAGCGGCTTATAAACAGAAGGTTAGACCAGGTTCGCGCAACAATCAAAATTTTCTCCGATTGTTGACATTCTCAAAACTTGAGGCCGATGTAGATTTGTAATGGATTTAATTAAGGTCATGTATTTTATCGATTTTAATACAATATTATAATGATTATTATGATTTTTATTATTTTCTCCCAATATTTCTAATTTATAAAAAAAATCAAAGCTATCAATTATTCAAAAGAATCAAAAGGGTCGTGTCTCTGTTTTTATATTAAAAGAGGTGCCGGCAACAATGGCAACAATTAAGTCAACAATGGGATTTGAAGGAACAAAAACAGCACATTTTGGAGTTGTTGAAACGCGACGTTCCGTGCTTTTCGATGTCTTTCTCAGGTCAGCGGTCACCAAATTGCAAAAATTTAATACAATCATATTATATTATAATTTGCCTATGTAATAATGGACCTCTTGCCAATTCGACCTTCTCCTCCAATTTAATAATTTGACCTTTAACCCAATTTAATAATTCGACCTTTTACCCATTAAATTTCACCTTTTGCCCATTTGCCCATGTGAGACGTCATCGCTCATGCGCAGAAAAATTTTACCCCCAGAACTCACAAATTACATCTACTCAACTAAAGCCTCCCGCGCGACAGTTTTCTGTCAGCCGCGCCGCGCAAAAGGTTTTCGAGAACAAACGTCGAGACGCACGTGCGCTGCACATTATTCCCAGCAAGGACCTCTTTTTTTATTTTTCTCCTTTCATACGCTGGGCTATTCAACGCGATTTTCGACATGAGCGAATTGCGACACGGTCGTGCCGTACTTATGCTTTTTTAAGCGCTGCAAACATGAAAGAGCGGGGACTGATTAAAACAAAGAGCGTTTCGAGCGTGCGAGAAGGAGCGAAGAATTGCACTGGTGCAGCTGTGTGTGGTTTGCATTTATTATTGTTTGCCGTCGCTCACCCCCTTTCTGCAACACAACACTGAGGCAAAGTCATGGGAATTGGCAATGACTCTTTTATTATTTGCACAACAAACGGAGAGAGAGAGAGAGAGCAAGAGCGAGTCGTGTCTTCTCAGCTTTTGCCACGGAGAGCATGTTTAATTATGTGTGGCCTCTTTTCTCTCTCTCTCTCTAGGCAGCCACTCTGAGCGAGATTCTTGCCGAGATCTGACGAATTCCTCAGTTGACTTGAAATTTTGCGCTTCTTGCAAAACGCGCGTGTCGGTCAAAAACAAAGGCCTGCTCTGCGTTTCACAAAGTAATTGCACACCAACGGATCAATGTTTTCGTCTCAGTATGACAAGTTTTAACACAAGTTGCTAATTTTTATTTAATTATTTGTTCAAAATTTCATTAAAAATTAAAAATACTGCAAAGGAAAATTAAGTCTTAAACTAAATCATAGAAATTTCTCACATTAGCCAGAAAAAGAAGCAATAATAATAATTATTTTTCCATATTTATTATGTTCATTGGTGTTTTGTGATTCTTTAAAATTGCAATGAATTTTAAATGGAAATATCTCAATTGTTATTTTATTTTTAAATTTCCTTTCAAATTTAAATGTTTGCTAAAATCAGAACCCAGTAGAGAAATTCGAATTAAATTTGCAAATCTTAAATGTAAAGGTGCAGTAATTTTTTTTAAGTTATCTCCAAGACAGTTTTAAAGACTCAATTTGTAATAAAAAAAAAAAAAATACTTGACAGTAATATAAAAGTTGTTGCGTAATTCATAAAATATTTTGAGAATATAATTTAGGTTATCCAATTTAATTTAAATCTTGTTAGTGTGAAAGTAAATAATGTAAAATTCGTTAAAAGAAGGATATTTGCTATGCCTACAATTTATACACTTAAAATCGCTGAAAATCATTTACAAAAAAATTAATAATAATTTGATCCTCTGTCAAATATCTCTACTTTTATTTATGAATAAAAAAAATAACATGGAAATAAAATAAGATAAATTATATTGGGGGATGCCAAGTTAGCACCAGCAAATCCTATCAGCTAAGCTAACTTAGGATGTGAATATATCACTCGTTATTTTTTACAATTTTTTAATTGGAACTTCTTACTTGTTTGCTGTCATTATGCGTTTCTCTCATTCATTGACTTTGTTTGCGAAGGAGCAAAGAATGATTAAAAAAATACATAAAATGATATCATATTAAAATTTTTTTCGTTTTTATTTTTATTATTGTTGTCAATTCAATTCAATTCAATTCAATTTGTTTTATTCTCTACATAACAAGTCAAAATAAAATACAAAAAAATTTTATAGGCAATTAATATCATTATGAATCATTATTAATGAAATGATTTCATCCCCCTTTACAATTTATAGAAATGTGGAGTTAGTGGAATACTTCTTTTTAAGAACAATCTGGTCATTTTTTTTTTTGCAACGTTTATGTTTTTATAGATATGGTCAATAAAACATGCCACAAAATGCACATTTGGCGCGGGGTGGATCATATTTCAACAGCCCCTCCCTGTGCCAACGAAACTAATCCATAGCAAAGCTACTTGTGCCCTCTCATTCTTTACATTTTTTCCTGTCATGTTTTTGCAGCGAAATGCCCCTCAACCGAGTGAGCGCGCCGGTGGCGATGGAGGCGCAAGTGAGACGAGGTCTGACGGCTCGGCCACCCTCGCCTGAGCACCAACTCGCGTCGCCCAAGCACCAGTCCGCCTCCTCCATTCCAGCCCTTCAAGAGGTACTTGAAGAGCCTGTCGAAGAAATGGTGAGTGATAAATTTTTTCTCCTCCTTCTTAATTGATAAAAGTTCCGACAACGAAAACAAAACACCATAAACTTTCTGAAAAAAAGTGATGAACGGCTGCAGATGTTTCTGACGGGCCTGCGGCGAAATTGATATTTTGCTGCGGCCAGGAAAGAGGTTTCGCCGAAGGGTCGGTTTATCTAATCTGGTCACGTGCTCGAAGCGGAACGGCCAAGACTCGGAGGTCATTTTTCTCGGCCCAATCTTGATGCAAAATTTCCGACGTGCAATCAGGGTGCGAATAAAACAAGAAAGAGAAAAATGGGCCCATAGGCGCTGCAACCCTTAAAAACTGCGGCGAAAATTAAGCAGATTCAAACAAAAAATCTCTTCAAATTATCTATTTCATCGTTTTTTTGTTTTTCAATGTTATTTATATATATCATTTAATATCATTAAAGTTTAATGATTTTCAAATTTTTTGTATAATTTGATAATTTACAAAATTGCTGAAAAATGCCGAACAAAAAATAATAGTTTACTTGGAAGGTCGATTTTATAAATAGATTCAAATTCTAATTTTGAAAAATTTGATTCCTCCAAATAACATGAATTGGTTGCTTAGAATAATTTGAAAAAAAAATATTATTTCTGTTAAAATTTAAACGAAAAATTCACGCAAAAAAGCAAAAGGTGAATCATACATACTGAAAGGTTTCTTAAATAAAAAAATTATTTCATAGCTTTTGTTAATTTTTGTAAAGCCAATACACAATACTATTGAATGATTTGTTACTGTTTTAGGCAAATTTAAAATACCAATATTTGCTAAGAAAAAAGAACAATGAAAATTAAATTTGGAAATATTTCCTTAAATTTTGATTGCCCTAAATTATTCTTTCCGCTAAATTTTATAACTTCTTACTTAGAATGATTTAAAAAAAGTTTATGTCAGGACAAAATATTAAAGAAAAGAATTTGCAGTTTGGGGTTCAAATGGAAGGGTTGAGGTCGAGTGAAGAAATGACGGCCGCCCATTAATTTTATTCACGGTGACGTTGTCTCTCGCTCACTCGGGCTCCCGGTGGAAGAAATGTACGGTCACGTGTGGCCACGTTATGACACTTATGTGTAAACACTGCACGCCCCCCATTCACCCGCCGCGGCTCTTTTCTTATCGATCAGCCTGCGATGGGCGTAAATGAACGCCGGACGGTGGCCGACGATGACCAGTAGGGTGTGCGCGCTTGCCGGGGTTGCTTCTTGGTCTGGCGCGCGCTTCTCGTAATTTTTGCGGCAGAAAATTCGCGGGAAGCGCTGCAGGGTTGAATCCAGCGTGTGGACTCACAGGAGAATCATGCGGCTAAAGCGGTTCCTGGGTTTCCGGGTCCTGGCCAGACCCAAGTCGGCGCCCGCGACCAGGGCGCAGCCCGACACCTTCCGAAGTTCACATCACTCCGGAAGGGAGAGCAGCCGGTCCAGGCGCAGGAGAAGGGTAGGATTGAAAAGCTAAACAAAATTGTTAAATCATACAATTTGTAAACCAAAATTCGTCTGGTATTTGAACCAAAATTTAATTTTTTTTCCAAAAATTTTAGCAAGATTATTTAATTGTGTGAAAAATTATTATTTTTTTTTAATAATTTTGATATTAATATTTTAATTGCTTCATAAAAGGCAATCTCAATTATTAATGTTTGACAATTACAATATTTAAAAAAAAATAATGTAAACAAAGTAGTATTATATAAATTAGATCTTATTTTTTCTATTTTTTTTTTAGAAAGAAATTTTAATTTAACTAAGAATTTTATTAATATTAATTTTTATTGCTAATGAAACAGATCTGACTAAGATTTTATTTAATTTCATTATTTAAATAATTACATTGATTAACCAGAATCATAATTTTATTTAAACCTTTTTTGTAAATATTTAGAGAAGAGTTGGAAACGCATTTATTTATCAGCATCATGAGGCTTTTGAGGAAGATTCCGTCACAATAATTACGGCTTTGTTGTGTACAGTTTTGATTAAACAAAGGGCAATGTTCCGTGAAGATTGTGTTGCCGAAGTGCATGTGCATTAATGTATCCGCCTAAAAATTCTCACGTCGGTCGAGATCTCTCGTCTCGTCTCTCATTAAAATTAATTCCGTGCCGCCTCGTCGCGTTCGCCTCTCTCGCGCGCGCACATTATTATTTCGTGGTATTTATAACCCCCGTGTGCACTTAGAGGGTTGCATGCAAATCCCTCAGGGGTGGGACCAATTTGCGGCCCCGTCAATGAGGCTCGCCGTGTGTGCCGAGTGGGCATCCGCTCGTTAGTGGAATTAACAAACTGCGCATTTTTAATGGAATTACTCGCATTTCCTCCTTACACCGTTGACACCCCAAAATGAATAAAAAAAAGTAGACTGGAATCTTATAAGTTTGGATGAAAGTTCAATATTACATAATGAATTGCCTATTCCAGATTTTTAACAAAATTATTGAAAAATGACGGAGAAATTAAACTGGTATTTTCAATTTTGATTGTAAACTACTTAATGGGATGAAAGTTCAAACTTCAAACATACCTTTGGCGGGAAAAGTCAAACTCCTGTTTCAACGTCTAACCTATAAAAAAAGTTGCTATAAAAATATCAACTTTTAAAAAGCGATTTTGACTTCAGTGAAGATAGTTTTCATACTTTCAGAATAAAAAATTTACAAAATTACTTATGTGAGTCTTTAAAGTTTGAAGATTTAAACTGTTTTGAGGAATCCTTATTGGCGTATTCAAATCAATTCCTTTACAACAATAAAAGTAAATTTTAGCAATTGATTATTTTAACCACAAATTTTTTTTTTTAAACTTGTCAATAAAGTGTCCTTTCTTTAATTCTGTTTCTCATATTTCGTTTATCCTTAGGGATAATTTAATATTTAAAGATTTTATTGAGCAAACTTTGACATTTTCCATCACGAAGAGTGCAATCAAAAAGAGCTTTAGAGAAACATTTATATGTTGCGAGTGAAGGTTCGAGTGCGTTGTGATTAATGACGATAGAAGTGCAATCAGCTAATGCGTCTGCCGCTAGTGAGGGAGAGACGAATCACGTTCACACACAGTAATCGACCTTTGGGGAGTTCGGCTGCAGTTCCCAGGTTTGACCCACTCTTGAGGAGCAGGGAGGGGTTGTTGGTTCGGACGCGCGTCCAACCCATTTCTACTGCTTCCCATCGCTTCATGGTTTTAGCGCTTGCTGCACTAATCATCATTCCGATGCAAAGCCCTTCAAAGCAGACACGTACTTACTCCCTCACTAGAGGGTGCTTATAGGATAAGTGCAAATGTCTGCCGAAATTTTATCTATCCCGTTTTTTGACCGAGTGAAAAAATTGCTCCTCGCTCTGAAAGGGGAAATTTAGAGGCGTTGCCGCAGAGTATATTGTTGTAACTCGATCGGCGCCCATCACAATCAAGTAACTGCCGCCGAAATGATCGAATTACCAAACACAAGTCAACCGGTGGCAACAGCCTCGGAAATTAATGCGATCGATGGATAAATTAATTAATTATGATCGCGAACCCAGGATGTCAGAATAATTGAGAACCAGTCAGCAGATGAAGTTTCTGTTGATTAATTTTAGTGATGCGTCTTGATTAAATTTATTTCAGTCAATCAAAAAATGGAGGACAAGAATTATTTACACTAAGTTTTCCTAGAAAATCAGTTTGATTAATCAAAATAAGAAGCTTTGCTTACTTTTATTACAATTTCATTTTACCATTACAAATGAAAGCCTGGGTAAACTGAAAATAAATTTGAGTTTTACCATAGCGAAGAAAAAATTATCATAGTTAAGCGATTTTTTGTTTGATTTGTTTTACGTAAATTGCAAAAAAAAAACGTACTTGCGAACTTAATTTTTTTTTATTTGTCACATTTTCTTATTAAATTTGAATAAAGCCGATTTCCATGGTATTGTAGGTTAAATCCTCCCACTGATTTGTGTCAATGAAGTGTCGAACGCCTGAATTTGGTTGAACTAGGCAAACTCCTTACAGATGGGCCACGCGGGAAGCCTAAATTACAATAATCTTGCTTCGTCGTATTGTTGAAATCAAAAAATTATTCCATGCACTTATTTTACTGGAATTCATAAATGGATCAAAATTTCTCACTGAAAAATAGAGGAAAAATAATTATTTGTAATCACAAACAGAAATTCATAATTTTTTTGGTTGTTTGCACAAATCTTAAAGTTTTTTTGCAGTTTTAAACATAACAGGCTGAGATGAGTATCTTAGAATTATTTTCAGCGAAAAGCTTTGTAGGCAACACTTGTGGCTGCATGGTCTGGGATTTAGTAGAATTATCGTCTATGCATGCTTTAATCGAGGGAGTGATTTTTATGGTGCTCCATTTCTATAACAGTAGCTACTGTTTTTCAAACTGAATTGAATTTGCAATGAAAATATGATCTCATTTCAGTTTGTAAATTAATGATTAAATTAAAAATTAATTTGTAGAGACAATTAAATTTACTCATCCTCAATTTACTTCATTCCTTCTATTATAATTACACATTAAATTTTGACACTTTTTATGATTTAAAAATGAAATGGAATTAAATCTTGAACAGGAAAATCAGCGCCAATTCCGAGATCAGTCCGAACTATCTCGATTTTACAAGTTCCGAAACCTTCAGGTAGAGGTCGCGCCGATGCAACCTGCGGCCAGGTGAGCCCACCTGAGCGCAGGTAGCAGGTGCTTTGCTCTCGTGGGGGATGCAGACTGCGGTGATGAAATCTCGCGGCTCCCCTCCCGATGGGAGGCAGGCCAGGCAGGCGTTATCATCTTTTGTGCTCAATTGGAATGCAGTCTGGTGCATTCTTATGTTGATATTCTTTCTTTCTTATATATTTACCTGCTCCGTCGGTCCGCCTGCAATGTTGCAAGATGCGAGCAGGACCGAGAAAGAATAAAAGGAGATTCCAGTGGCATTAGTTTCATTAATCCCCTCCTCAGGTGT